AGTTCAAGCCCCACGACCGACAAAAACAAAACCAAAAACCCTACTGCCTTGAAGTCCCAGAGAAGAACCACCCAAGCCAAAGGAAGGTTTCCAGTACACGATGGCGGCTGGGTGGACAGCGCACAGACGTAGGGCAGGGCGCCTCCCCCAGGCCGTCTGGAGAAGCGCGCGTTTGTATGAGGCGCTTCCCAGCAACAGGATGTGGGGAGCACTGGCAAGTCCAGGCCAGCCACAGCAGCCTCCCCCCACCACCCGCAGACCGTGCGTGAAGGAAGTCTGAGCTTCAGGAAGAAGGAAATCTGGTCCGGTGGTGAGGCAGCAGGCAGGCCCGAGGGCGGACAGCAGGTCTCACGCGGGCCGCAGCTGGGCTGACGGGCGTGTGCCAAGGCAAGTGCCAGGAGACAAGGTCGAAGCCCAGCACTCACACAGGAGAGGCAAACCGCCGACGGCACTGGCCCAAGAGGCGGGAGGACGCGGGGGACCTGCGCGAGGCCGTGGACGTGGCTCCTGGCCCCGGCCTTGCCCGACTCCCCAGAAGAGCACACAAAGCCGGCCGCTGGCGGCTCCCGTTCCTCCTAGCTACACGGGGAGGATGAGAGCTGGAGGATGGAGACTGGAAGCCAGCCGGAGGAGAAAAGTCCGTGAGACTCCATCTCCTTAAACATAACCAGCAGAAAGCTGGACTGACGACCAGAGTGTGGTCTGCACTGGTAGAGCGCCAGCCACAAGCAAGCAAGGCAAGCAAGCTCCAGGTCCTGAGTTCAAGTCCTTGTACTGCCATAAATTATAGTTTACCCCCTCCCCACGAAAAAGCCAGACTAGAGGCATGACTCAAGTGGGAGAATGCCAGCTGAGCAAGAAAGCCAAGCAAGCGGGAGGCTCTGAGCTCAAGTCCCAGTACCAGCAGGAAGGAAGGAAGGAAGGAAGGGAGGGAGGGAGGGAGGGAGGGAGGGCAAGGAAGAAGAAGGAAGAGGAGGAACAAGTAGAGTGGGAACCACCCCCACAACATCCACTGGCCCTCTGTGGACCTGTGGCTCTTGCGGGCAGAGGCTGCCTGAGCTCTGGCCTCCGCTAGCCCGTGAGGAGCACTCAGGGCCTCCGGCAGGCCAGCTACCCATGTCACGTTCCCTTGGCCTGACCGCGGGCGGCCGCCATCTTGTCCTCTGGCCAGCTGCGTGAGTCTTGCAGTGACTGACACTGCTCTTCTGTACTGAAGCCAGGCCCGGCCGGCCTGCTGCACGTCCCCCCACCCCGATCCATCCTTCCCGGCAGGATGGCGCCCTGCAGCATGGGGCCTGCGTGGAGGGAGGGCTGCCACCCCCTTCCCCACCACGGTTGGTCAGCCTGGCCTCCCTGCCTCCTCCGCGGTCGGCCACCGCCACCCGCAGGTGCCCCATGGGGGAGGCCACCAGCGTCTCCTTGGGACGCCTGTGTTGGAGACACCCTCATTTGATTCAGGCCTCAGTTTCTCCCTCTGTAACAGGGCCAACACGGCAGCCTGGTCCCTCCCACGGATATACCCCAAGCCCGTGCCCGCAAAGGCGCTGCCCAGGTGGGCAGGTGGGCACTGCGTGCAGGTGGGTCCCATCCACCCAGCTGTCACAGCGCAAGGCGCAGGCGGCGCCGCCGCCGCCTCGAGGGGGCGGGCCCCGCGGCTTTCCCAGGGAGGGCATCTGCTCCGGGATGAACACCCCGAGTCCCCCTGCCAGGCCTTCCTGTGAGCCTCCTGGGCACCGAGGACTCCCGGAGTGTGTGTCAGCTCACCCCAGGGTGAGGGCTGCTGGGGGGGGGCAGGGAGGCGGGGCGGGCAGGCTGATGGTCTGGGCTCCCAAGTCTGGTGGCCCGGGGCTAGGCTGGCTTATCATATTAGAGGAAAGAAAAGGCCTGGTGCGGGGGAATTCCACAAAGGGTGCCCGCATCCCCCCACACTCGCCCCTCATTAGCATGCCGTGGACGTCACCGGCGACTTCGTAGCAGCACCAGGCTGAATGGCGGCACGGACCTGCACGGCCCAGGCTCAGCTGAGCCGGGCCGGCGTCCCGGGCTGCTGCTGCTCATGCATTCGCAGAAAGCCCCCATTTGCATGGAGACAATGATCCACCCCTGATGCTGGGGCCGCGGGGCCCTGGGCATTTGTTGGCACAATTGTCCTTTGTGCCCACTCCACTGGGCAAGCGGGCACACGTCCCAGGAACTCACAGAGAGGTGGCCGGAGCCAAATCCACACGGCATGTGATTAGACCGCGGGGCTCGGCGTGCAGCGGAGCGGGTGCCCGGGACGGCCTCGGGGAGCAAAACCACCACAGGCCTGTCTGGAACATTCCTTGCCTTCCTAGCAAGACACAGACACGGGGACGATGAGCAGATGCAGCACCCAGGGCCGCGGCCGCCAACAGCCGTTGCGCAGCGGGCCAGGGTCCAGACCAGCGGGGACAGACAACGCAGTGTGCCACCTTCTGTCACTCTGAGAGAAACTGGTGGCGGTTTGTCCTCACAACTGCCACCATGGAGCTGGAACGAGCTGCTGGCTCCTGGAACATTCTAATTGGTCTTACACCAGTCTGGTCCCAGGCACAGTGCAGAAGTCTGGGAAGGGAGGGGCAGAGGGAAAGGACAGGAACGCAGAGGAGCAGAAGTCCGGGCAGAGGGGCGGGGGGGGGCCTGTCGCACTCCTAGACCCAATGCCCTGTCCAGGACGGGAGGTCACTGTGTGCGGACGGCCTCCCTTCCACCAGACTAGGGCCCTGGCCACATGGTACGACGGGGTCAGGCCTGGCTCCCAACAGCCCAGAGTCTGACCAGGGCCATCTGCCACCAGGGGCGCCCAGCCTGGCCCGGGCCTGCAGGGAGCGCTGGGAGGAGGGCAGAGGCCAGCCCCGGCCTCCACTATCTGCTCTCCGCTCAGACCCAGGGAGTGGCCAAGAGGAAGTGGGCATCTTGGCCTGACCCACGCCCCTCAATCTGGAAGGAGAGGGCTCCGCCGGCCTCCAAGGGCCAGATCCCAACTCCGGGGTCTTCGTGGGACTGTGGGAGTCAATTGGGCCTCAAACTAGGTGTTCCTTGAACCCCAGGGCTGTGTCCCACACTGGGATTTTATGAATACCCACCAAGACCCCTCTGCTGACGACGTGGCTGGTACCTGGGCACCCAGGACCCCCGAGATGCAGCCATCCAACAGCGCTCACGTCCTGGGTGCAAAGCGGCATACGCTCCCGTGGACTTCCAAACACCTTCAACTTATTTATGTCTGGTTCCTAAGGCAGGCTCACGCCTGCCATCCTAGCTACTCAGCGGGGGAGGTCCGAGGATCAAGGTTCAAAGCCAGCCTGGGCAGACAAGTCCAAGAGGCTCTTATCTTCTGTTAGCCAGTAACAAGCCAGATATGGAGCCATGGCTCAAGTGGTAGAGTGCTAACCACGGTCAGGAAAAAGCCAAGCAAGAGCCCAAGGCCCCAAGTTCAAGCTTCAGTACCATCCTGTGTGCACACACTCGTATGCCTCCGTGTGTATACACACACACACACACACACACACACACTTAATGCAATAGAAACACTTTGTAAACGGTTGCTATATTGTTGTGCTTCCAGAGATTACAGACCAGAAAATGCTCTGTTTGCGGCTGCCATGTGAATGGACAGTTTTCTTCTCGAATGTTTTCGGGCCACGGCTGATTGAGCCGGCAGGCACAGGTCCTGGGGATGCTGTTTGCCCAGTCCCCACCTGTCGGTGGAGGTGACTGGCAGGGCAGCCAACGTGGCCTTGGGGGAGAGGCCAGGCTGGCTTCTCCCCTGGGAAGGTGAGGGCCACTATCTCAGGCCCACAAAGTGGCCCCATTCCACTCGAGTTAAAGAGAACTACTAGAGCTGGGCACCAGGGGCTCACTTGAGAGGCTGAGGTCTGAGGATCAGTTCAAAACTAGCCCAGGCAAGAGAGTTCAGGAGACTCTAATCCCCAGTAAACCACCAAAAAGCCAGAAGTGAAGTTGTGGTTCAAGTGGTAGAGTGATAGAGTGAAAAAATGCTCAGGAACAGCAACCAGGCCCTGAGTTCAAGACCCAGGACCAGCACAGAAGAAAGAGAGAGAAGGCAGGGAGGGAGGGGAGGAGGGAGGAAGGGAAGGGAGGGAAGGAGAAGGAAGGGGAGAGGAGGGGAAGAAGGGAAAGGAAGGGATGTAGGGAGGAAGGAAGGAAGGAGAGAGAGAGAACTAGAGAATTTGGCCATTGGCACTGAACTCATCACAAAAAGAAGTTAGCACCCCAGGAAGCAATGGGTTCCTTCCAGCACAGCAGTCTAAGAGCTAATCTACACCCCTCCACACACCTCCTGGAGCATGGGGTCCCCAGACTCCGAAACTGCCCCATCCCCAGCCACCTGGCTCCCCGGTGGTACGTAGCAGCTAATGGGCCTCCTAACAAGTCTGGCACAACCTCCCCCCCGCCCCCCCCCCAGCAGAGGACTGGGTAGAAGATACGGAAGAGCCACACACAGGGCAGGGCAAGTTCCAGCTTGAGGCCTGGGGGACCAACGCGGCCTCTCCCCAAGCCCACTGGCCTCAGAGCCGCAGCACCGCATAACCCAGCCCAGCACACGTACGCGGGGCCTGTGTGAGGGGTGCCCCTCGCTCCCGCGCCGCCAGGCCAGCCCGCCGCTCTCCCGGTGCAGGGCTCACACTGGTTGAAGGGAGCCTGCTGAAGCCGCCTTCCCCCGCAGCCGCAGCCGGGGAGCCGCAACCCGCTCTCACCTCCCTGCTTGGGAAAGACCTGGGGGAACCTGCTGGAAGAAGTTTCTAGAAGCTTATTTGATCTGTTCATCCTCTAGAAGCAAAGATCCCAATTCTCTCCTGCTTGGGCTCCCAGAAAAGGCCGTGGCCCTGCGTGCCCGCGGGGCGCTGGGAGAAAGCACGGAGAGATGCTGGGGTATGGGGACTCCCCCGGCCACGCTGACCGCGGCCAGTCCTGCCCCTTGCACCCCTCCCCAGTGCCCACCCCATGGGACTCACCAGAGCTTTCATAGCTGTCCTCCGGGGGGTCACACGTGATGTGGGGGACGGTGAGCGTCTTCTCCCCCAGGCTCACCCCATTATCTTTGTCCAGTTTGAACTTTTTTTTCTTTACCTAAACATCCACACAATGGCGGGGTCACTCCTGCGCGTCCCCGCCCGCTGCGCCCGCGGCTCGCAGCTCCTCGGCCCCCAACCGGGGGCACTACAGGGGCGTCGTGGGGAGCCCAGCCTGGTCAGGGCCGCACAGACACACGGAGAAAGATGTGCCTTCGGTCCAGGGCCGGCTCTTCCCGAGTCCCTCTGGGCCCCTTGCAGTCCTGGTCTTGGGCACAGCAGGGCGGCGGGGGCCTGGCATGGGGTGTGTACCTCCAGGCCTGGAGTGATAGTGACTGCCGGACCCGGACCCCACTGAACCGACAGCCCACCACCTCGGCTCCCACGCCCCCCCCTTCCCCACGAGCGGGTGGCCCCCGCCCCACGCCAGACGGGCTGGTTACCGTGACGGATTTCTTGGGCTTGGGGCTTGGGGAGAGCAGCGCATGGCTCCGGGCGGGCTTCCGGACATAGATCTTCCAGGTGGAGGAGTCGGGGTTCTCCGCAGCGTAGCACCTCCACGCTGTCTGCAGATGGCAGGACGGAGTCTGTCATCCCTCCCGCCACCCCGGGGGGCCTCCCCAAAGGCGGCAGCCCCTCCATCCCGGGCCCAGCCCCTCTGCTCTGGGTGGGCGAGCGCCTGCGGCCGGCCTCTGAGCCCTCTGCTCGCACAGCCAGGGGCGGATCACCGCCTCACACACGGCCGATCAGTCACGCGTGACGCGCGGCCTCCGAGGCCTTTGCTGGGGAGCCCCAAGCTTTCTCCCCCCAGCTCTACCACCTGAGCCCTGTCTGCACGCCAAACTTGCTCATCCTGAACACAGAGCAACACAGACAACGTGCACAGAGCCGGATGACCAGGGTCTACTCAGGAAGGAGGACGGCGAAGGGGGGGGGTGGGCCTGAGCAGGCACTGCCGAGCACAGAGGAGCCTGGACGGGGCGGGGGGGGGGGAACGGGGCCCCAGGGCTTGCAGGAGTGAGCTGAGGGGTCCGGGGCAGAGGGGGCCTCCCGGAGGGTCATCCTACAGCTGTGGAGGGTCGGGCACCCTCGGATGAGGCCTTAGGCCATGTGCCACAGGGGCCTTCCGAGTGTCCACCCGAGGGCAGACCTGGGGGAGGGGCAGGCAAGCAGGGGACACATGGGCCCCGGTAGCCCCCGGTTGGACAGGGATGGCACACAAGGACAAGTTGTGGTGGCCTCTTGTCATGCCTGACCCTGCAATCCCAAGAAAGAGGGAGCAGCTGGCAGAGGTGGCGGCTTGTGAGGGACAGCCCGCGGGGCGGAGGCCGGCAGGGCACCGCAGACAGCCGCATCCCTTGCACATGCCACATCCTCCGCGCCCCACTGCGCACATCCCTGAGCCCCCCACCGGGCCCCTTCACCCCTCCCCGGGAGCAGCCTCGGCCCTCTGCCCCTGCCACCTGATTTACGGTCTCCCAGGCTTCCCTGTCTTCTGGCTTTGGGACTGCAGTGGCACGCACTGATGGAGGGCCCTCGCGGGGAAGCTGGGCCACGCGTCCTGGGCCCCTGCTGTCTTCCCTCTGAGACTCAGCTCCGCGCACGGAGGCTGGGGGCCCATGGATGGGTGGCATCGGATGGTGGGAGGGCCCCGCCTGCGCCCGCGCCCGGTCTCTGGCCCACAGGCAGGAAGGGCCATGAGGGAAGGTGACCCTGCACTTGCTGCCCAGCATGTGGCTGACGGGCAGGTGCCTCTCCAGGCAGGACGCCAGGCTGTGGGAAGGCCCCCGAGCCGGGCCCCAGTCCTCGTCACAGGCTGGGTTGGCACCATGGGAAGGGCGCGCACTTTGGCAGGGCCGGCTTGCTCGTACCTGAATGAGCGAGGCAGCGGCCGGGATCTGCCGGTTGAAATGCTTCTGCCGCTGCTTCTGCTGGACCTTCAGGGCAAAGCCAGAGCCCAGGATGCCCTGGGGAGGAAGAGGCCAAGGTGCCGGGTGATGCACTGGGTGCCGAATGACCCCACGAAGCCCGGTCCTCCGGGCCAGAGGCACTGCCTGGCTCGGTGCACATGAGCGGCCCAGACTGGCCAGGAGCAGAGCCTGCCCAGGGCCAGCCAACCCCCCCCCCGGAGCGCCCGCGGCCTCGCTGACCCCCTCTCCCACAGCGAGCCTCTGTACCCCAGGGCAGAGGGCTGCAGACCTAGGCTCTCCACAGCAAAGACACAGCCACTGCAGACAGAACGGCGGCAGGGAGCTCCCCGCCCAGGCCACGAGCACGCATGTCACACGTGCGCAGTCATACATGGCTTGCATGTCACACGTACACAGTCATACATGGCTTGTGATGTGTGTTCAGCAGATACACATAAACACAGTACCACACAGGAATGCACACAGGACACACACACACGCGTATGTTCATATACAACACATCCCACACTCAAAACATGATAAGTACCCAAATGTACGCAGGCCAACCATGCCCAGGAAACACGTGTGTGTACACCGTGACACATCCAACACCGAGCACAAGCATGCTGAGCAAATGCCAGGCACAGGCACGCGCACACACATTCACACACGTATGACATGCACGCAGTGCAGGCGGTGCACACATCCCAAGGGTTGTACGCTGGTCATGTATGACGTGCACGCAGTGCAGGCGGTGCACACATCCCAAGGGTTGTACGCTGGTGACCACCTGTTCACCCGTGGCCACACGCGTGCCCACAGAGCACTGCCCGAGTGTGGCTGTGCTCACGGGGAATCTGGCTTCCGCCTTCTGCCAGCGGTTTCCACGGAGGGTGGGAAACGCAGCTCTCCCTCCCAGCTGTCTTGCAGGACGACCTGCTCCCCAGAGCCCAGCCAGGACGGGCAGCTGGGCCCTCATCCCCTCTCTGGTCCATGCCAGGCTAGGCCACCTCTGAGGGACGCGTGGGGGGCAGGGCAGGGCAGGCGGGCTGACTGCACTTAGTGGTGGTGACCTCTGGAGGCTGGCACCTTCGGGAAGGGATGCACCGCCTTGGCACTGGCCGGGCCACCTCTGTGAGTGCGCACAGGGAGATGCCCAGCTGGCAGAGGGCCAGGGCCCCGCTGGCTACCTACCGCCGGGAGGGCAAAGAAGGAGATGGCGAAGACAGAGAAGCAGGAGGCGATGGTCTTCCCCACCCACGTCTGGGGCACCTTGTCCCCGTAGCCGATGGTGGTAACTGTCACCTGCGGGGAAAAGAGACACTCAGCTGACTGCAGGCTGGAGCTGGGGGGTGGGGGGGAGTTACCTGCCGGTCCAAGCCGACCCTGCTGAGCAGAGGTGCCCGAGGCCCCGCCCTCCCATGCAGCTATGGGCTTTCACTGCCCACTGGCCAGCTTGGCCAAAGAGCCAGGAAGAGAGTAGCAGGTCGGTGGAGCCTCAGACTGCCAGCCGCAGCCTTCCTACCCCCGGGGCCTGTGTTAGCTAGACGGGGTGCGCAGGCCTTGGAGCCCACCCGTGGGAGGCCGGGCCTCCCTGCCCCGCTGCTGGCCTCGGCCTGCCCTGTCCCAGCCCCCCGGCCGGAAGCTCCCACCGAGGCTGGCCGTCCACAAAGAGCGGGGACAGGATGGTGCTGCTTCCTGCCACCCGCCCAGGGCTCCAGATGCTTCGTTTTTCCTCTGCTCGGAGAACAGGACAGGGCTCCAGCCTCCCTCTCAGTGGAGGAGCAGTCCAACCAGAGCACGTGGGGGGCAACAGGAGTATGGGCAGCGCCCCACCCGGGGGGGCCCCTGCGGGCATCTGAGGTTTGCTCCTGGCCTCGTGTCCCACGGGGACTCGGAGCCTACCCTCCACGTGTGGCCACCGCTGCCTCTCAGAGGCCTGGAGCCTGCTGCGGGGGCGAGGGGGCGACCTCCCCTGGACCGGAACTCACTCCTGGGCAGCGGGACGGACGCACAGTGCCCGGACCCTTCTAGGTGGGAACACGTCAGTGGGGTGGGATCCTGTGTTGTCCGTGGTCTTTGTGCCCTGTTCTGGGCACCCTACCAGGACACCCCAGCTCTTAGCCCTGCAGGGGCCAAGTAACAAGCTCCATGCCGGGCCAGGGCAGCCCGGGCCTGCCCCAGGAGGCCGCTGTGGGCAGCACCTCCCGGGGCGATGCCACACAACCCACGCCAGCTGACAGCAGACCCAGAGGCAGCATGGCAACCTGCCTTAGCCCCAGAGGGCCCGGCCTTGGACAGGGAGGAGGAGGAAGAGGAGGGGGAGGAGGAGGAGGAGGAGGGGGAGGAAGAGCAGGAAGCGGAGGGGGGGGACAGTGGGTGGTGAGGAGAGGCCCAGTGGTCTCAGCCCAAAGGGCTGTCCATGCAAAGGGACACATAGACAGGACACACGGACACCCAGGTACACATCCCAGGCAACTGCTCAGCCAGCGGGGTGGGAGCCAGCAGGAAGGCACTGTGGCAGGCAGGGACGGAGCGGCAGGAACGGCACACCAAAGGCTTTGCTCAGCCCTGAGCACCCACAAGGCCCCACCCAGCTGTGCCGGAGCCGTGCCTCCCACCGCCCATTGTCCTTAACAGATGCGCCGCCCATCCCGTCCCCACCGTAACAAACACGCACCTCCCCCACACAAAGGGGAAGTGGGCTCCTGCAGGGCCTTTGAAAGGGACCCGGGCTGTCTACAGTGTACGTGCACACGTGCGTGCATGCACGCGTACACACATACACTAGATACACAGGACTGTTCACATGTCACCCCCACACAAGGTCACACGTGGGGCACTGTGGCCCAGACACCTAGTATGCACAGCACACACACAGGTACACCCACAGAGGTTTGTACCTGAAACGCACTCAGGTATCTTCTACCTGAAGCCAAGCCCTGCCCAGGGCGGAGAGCCAGGCTGTCCAGGGCTGCGGGCTGAAGAGACGGGGATCTGCACCCCATAAGCGCCACAGCAGCCTGGGAGGGGGGTGCAGAGGGAGGCATCAACAAACGCATCCGTCTCCTCACAAACACGTATGGGGCCCAGCAGGTGAGCGCGTGCGCACGCACGGCAGCCCGGCAGCCCGCTCACCACGCCGAGACCACACACCACCAGTCTGGAGCCCTGGTGGCCGGGTGGACCCCAGCACCTGGGGCTCAACTGTCTTGGGACAGGCCCTCGTCCCTTTGGTGACAACATGCCCATTCATTCCTCAAAATCTGAGGCCGAGCTTGCCCCTCCGCTCCTGGGCCTGCTAGCTCCCAGTGGGTCCCGGCCCTCAAAGATACGGGATGGGCGTGTTGCACGCAGGTCAGAGAGGACCGGCAGGCAGTGGGGGGGTTGGTGGGCCTCGGGGTAGGTACCAGGCCGCACCCTGTGCTCTCAGGGTAGCTTGGGCCGTGGCTGTATGGGCTGGGGTGCTGGTCAGCATCTGTCATGTTGGGGGAGGGGTATGGTTTGGGGCCTGGTGCCCGTGGGACCCTCCGAGACCCGGAGGGGGACACGGCAGGACCAGGCCACTGGGAGTCTGAGAAACCACGTGCCACACGGCACCCCGGGCACTGGGCACGGGACGCAGCTGCGGTGAGAGCCAGAGCCAGAGCTGCCGCTGCCACCCAGAAGGTGCATTTCCCCTGCAGCCCCACGCCTGTTCCACACTGTCCTGGTCCCATTGTTCCTTAAATGTCTTACTTTTATGAACAGACAAAACCTCGCCTAGGCAAAGTCAGCGTGCAAAGGGCCTCTGAAAACAGTTTGTGGGCGAGAGGCGCTGGCCCCGGGGCCTCGGGGAGCCCCACAGACCGGCGTGCTCATCACAACTTCAGACCGTTTTTAAAGCCTTGTGTGCATGTGCCAGTACTGGGGTCTGAACCCAGGCCCTCTCATTCCTGTGGGTGCGCTACCATTTGAGCCATGCCTTCAGTGCTGGCCTTTGGCTGGCTCGTTGGAGACAAGCGTTTCACAGACTCGACTTTCCAGTCTGGGTTGCAACTTGGATCTTCAGCCACCAGTACCTTGCCAGATTATTCTAAATTAAACTACTCAGGAGGTTGAGATCTAAAGATGGAGATTCAAAGCCAGCCTGAAAAAAGGAAAGTCCATGAAACTCTATCTCCAATTAACCAGGAAAAAGCCAGAAGTGGTGCTGTGTTTCAAGTGGTAGAGTCTGGCCTTGGACAAAAAAACCAAAGGTCAGTGCTCAGGCCTCGACTTCCAGCTCTAATAATGGCACACATTTTTTTTAAAAAAGCCTGGATTATTATTTTTGCCAGTCCTGGAGCTTGAACTCAAGACCTGGGCACTGTCCCTGAACATCTTTTGCTCAAGGCTAGCACTCTACCACTTGAAACACAGCACCACTTCTAGCTTTCTCTGCGTATGTGGTGCTGAGGAATGGAACCCAGAGCTTCATGCATGCAAGGCCAGCGCTCTACCACTGAGCCACCTTCCCAGCCCCAAGCCTAGATTATTGCAAAGGGAAAAAAGTGACCTTGGTGAGGGAGAAAGTTGGGTATGGAGCAGGGGCAGGTGGCAGGAGTCACAGCCACCGGCCCAAGCCCAACCGATGTCTGCCCAGCCCAGCCCCTGGAGGGCGAGGCCTCATTCGCAGGTCTCGGCTGCCTCCCCCGTGGCTGGGAGGAAGGACAGAAGGCGCTGGCCTTAACCTCTGGGCCTCCTCCTTCCCCCAGGCCACCACAGACCCCCTCCCCTTGTCCCAAGGGATGGCCCATCCCCAAGACCTGTTTGTTTTTCCTGAAGCAGCGGATGCAAGCCCCGGGAACAGCGGGTTTATAGTCCTGTGCCTGGAACTCATCCCCGACAGCCCGCCAAGACCCTGGCAGCTCCAAGAGGTCCTAGTCTCCCAGGCTGAGGCCGAGACAGAGGGCCCCTCCCCCTCAAGCCCACCGACGCCACACTCCTGCGCCTCCTGAGCAGCACTGTGGGGCGGCTGGCCTCTCTCCCATGGGGGGGGGGCGGGGGGACCACAGAGAAATCCACGGCCCCCACTTTCTGTTCTGAGAAGTCAGGACTGCTATGATTTGACCCTTCCTTTAAAAAAAAAATCCTATGGAAGCAGTCTTTACTTAAATAAGACACGTGAAGACTCAGTGACAAAGTTGTCAAGTGTGAGCATTAAGACTTCCCTGAAGTTTAAGGGTGACTTACACACGGACCCTGCCGGCTCTCTCATCCAAGACTTCTCCCTCTGTGTTTCCACCTTTCCTCCAGGATCACTCGCAGGCCTCGGGTCTTGGGAGCCACCCTCCCAGCCCAGCACGTTTGGAGCCAGAGCCTTACAGACAAGGAAGGGGGCTGAGGCGCGGCGTCTGCGCGGGCGGCCGGGTCAGGACCCGACGTTCCTCGTTTGATTCCCAACTTGAGCAAGTAAACTTGGGGAGATTACATGGCTTCTCATCCACAGAAGTCCTGCTGACCCAGTTATCCCTGTGTTCCTTGAGCCTTTTGATGGTTAGCTTTCCTTCCTGACGCCGCGCCCCCAGAGCTGGCCTCTGAGGGGAGGCCCAGGCCGGCCGGGAGCCCGACCCCTGCCCTCTGGGCCCCAGGCTTTCCGAGCAGAGCCTGAGAGTCAGCCCAAACCATAGTCATTTCACAGACAGGCCCAGTGACCAGCCCCAGGGCCGCCCAGTGGACACGTGGACACACAGACACAGTGCGTGCTGCCCGGCTGGCGTCGCGGCCCGACCCCGCCACCCCTCTCCACTCCTCTCCCTGCGTTTGCTTCCCCAACTGGATGAGAAGCTGGAAACCTCTGTTCTCCTCCTCACTGGAACGACTGTCCCCCTGTCCCCAAGAGGAGATCAGTCCCGTATGTCGTCCTGGGCCGAGGGAGTCGCGCAGCACATCCCCCAAGTGTTGGCCAGTGGACAGTGAGAACAAAAGATGGATGTGCTCTGTGGACTCCTATTCACCCTACAACACCCCTCTGGAAAGTTCCCTCTGGGGGAAGAGCTCTCTGGCAAGGGTCTTGCAGAGCTAGGCGTTCTGTAGGAGGGAGGATCCCAGGCCGGTGCCAGCTGCGTGCTGCCAGACCCGGCCCCCCGCCTCTGCATCTCCTTGCCATCTCTTCCCTGGACAGTCCGCCCTGGGTCCCCGTGCCAGCCTCGCCTGGCCAGAATGCCCCTGAGCCTAGGAGGCGGAACTCTCCGGCCTGCAGGTGACGGCGGAGGGCTGGCAGGCTGTGTTTTAAGAGGGGCTGAGGCGCAGGGGCGGGGTTCCGGCCTTTTCATTCTGCGATC